CGGTTTCACGGTTCTCTCTACCTCGAGTACTTATCGAGTTTATATATAATGTTGGGTAGCTTGTTCGTGAAATTTGTAATTAAATTATTAATTTTTTCTTACTCTGTTAATTGGCGAACCCTTTGAAACTCTATTAAATAGCTCGTATAGCTGGAGTTTCCAACTCTTCAAAGGCTCAAACAGTTTTTTCTTTTTATTTGTGAGCGGTGTACAGTAGTTTTTTTTCGAAGAAAATATTCTCTGTGATAAATTACTACTTTACATTAATGCTGGAACACTGCAGCGAATTACTCCCCTTTTATTTTTATCATTGATTCATTTGCAACTTCACGTTGATAAAATAATTATTTTTAATGTATAGGTGTACTATTGTAAGGTTAGGTTATTATTTCTAATCATTTAACGCTTCAACTCTACTTTTATTTATTTACATGTACAGTATATCTTTAATTGAATTATGTATGGGTGTGGTATTGTAGGGTTAGGTTATTATTTCTAATCATTTATCGCTTCAACTCTACTTTTATTTATTTACATGTACAGTATATCTTTAATTGAATTATGAATGGGTGTGGTATTGTAGGGTTAGGTCTGGGTTAGGTTATTATTTCTAATCATTTAACGCTTCAACTCTACTTCTATTTATTGACATGCATATAGGTGTAGTATTGTAGAGTTAAACAAGGAGAAAAATTATTTGTCGATTTGTAGGTGTCCATCTCGCATACTATTTTTCGCTGTTTGAATGTCGTCCATTACCTACCGGGATTGGCCACGTTTGTCCATTCGTTACACTAGGGTGCATTAAGACGATCGAATTTCGGAATCTTGCCAAACCTGAACAAGCAAAAATGGAGTTACCGAGGTCATCGTGCGTCCAATACCTGACCTTGTTTACGGCCAGGATTACGTAGTCCTTTCGCTATCAGTGTAGTTTTCAATATGTGTCTCGTTTCGAACAGATCGTAACTTAACCCGTAACGTTGCCTTCCTGATCATCGTGATTATCGTGTCGGTAAAGAAATACGCGGGAACTCTCTTCGACATTGGAAAGCTTGAAGAAAAAGCATACAGGGCTGAATTAATTTATAATTTTTTCAGTAAAACTGTATCTGATCAAACTTACAAAATCATACACTTATAGGTATTGTCTGAAATTAGTTTTTTAAGAGAAAACATAGATTTTGACTGTGTATGTGCATCTGCAGTACCGGTATACAGAATTTGGTGGCGCTATATGTATAGCGTCAAGAGCGGGAACTATTTCGTTAGAAACTTCCATGTAGCTTCGTTATTGTGAAACTTTGCATAAAGGATTTAAACGAGTCAGACTCGTCAATGTAAGATTAGGAGTTAACGAATTACATACTTCATTTTGAAACGCTTTTCCGCAACAGTACACAACTAATAAACAAGGAGAAAATATGGATACACTCGTGTTTAGTGGGGCACTGTATTTGGCGCGTAAATGTCGAATGTAAGGTTAGAAGCCTGAGAAATTCAGAGTAGGAAGTCGAAAAGAACGTGTATTAGAGGGGCAGGGGGGGGGGCAGAAATTCGTTAATAAAAGGTTCGATGCTCGTTGAATATCGATCAAGACAGAAAGAAAGGGAATACAAGATATAAAATTACGTTCGACGAATCGCGTTCGTGGTTTTACGCGCGAGTGTTTTCGATCGAATGTGAATCGACAGAATGGCGGTTAAGGTGTCTCGTTACGAAGTCGAACATCAAAGATAAGTAGGGCTCCAGAGGTGCGTCTTTCAAAAATAATGCATGCCCCAAGGGCGTAGCGACGTTTCTTTGAAAAAAATCTTGCCTTTCGTCCGAAAGAACGTTAAAAGCGAAGATGCCGGTTCGCACGTGCAAGTTTATCCCGATTCGACCGATTAGACGCAGTCGTGTACCGTTTTCGCGTGCCGGACAACGATTTTAGTGTCCCCCATCGTCGCACTGTGGCGGTGAGAACATGGATAAAGGACAAGAGACGCGGAAACAAAGACGGACTGCTAAGAACGAAGCTTGAACGCCAGCGGGGAAGCGGGAAAGAAATAGACTGTTAGCTGTCCTTCGCGAAACGCTGGCTGGCTGGCTCGACATTGTAAACAACAACATCACGCCAGAAGCAAATGCTCCGTAACGGTCATCGGAGATTGAGCAATCGCTTCCCGTCCCTTTCTGTTGTTTATGCTACACCTTGCGTACGCACGTTCCACGACACGAGAATCCAGCTGCGATCGAGGTCGTTCAAATCGCTCGGACAATCTTCCGACTAAGGTTAGAAAAATTTTACTTTTTCGATATCCTTGGTGTCGAGCCTGGTAGAGGACAATCGATCGAGTACGTTCCGTTTCGTATCCCGTGTATCGAATCACAGGGTTAGTTTACACGACGCGTTCGATACGCGCACAAAGTAATTTGCAATCCCGCTCTCCGGTTCGCGCGTGGGTTTTTTTTTTGTCCCTACGGATCTAGTGAATTTCGGTCGATAATACGGAATCTACCGAGCGCACACCGTTACAAGTTTACCAATCGGTCGAGAGCGATCGACGCTAATTGTTTCGGTATCGCGGCAATTGTTGCGCAACGGTTTCGACCGACCGTACACGTACCGTACAATTAACTTGTGCGTCGGCTATATTGCATTTCGCGTTAATTCGAATGTAAATCGAGAGACTCGTGCCAGTCGTTCCCGACTTCCGCGAGCCGTTCGTGAAAGCAAGCGACAGAGGAATTTCTCGGCGCGCACGTCGAAAACGTAACGCTTCCGGTGGAATAATGCGTTCCAGTGATAGACCCGGGGGGGTTGTGATTGCAGGAAGAAAATTATTTCAGCCCTCTGTGGTGGGCAACCGCTCTCGTCGTTGGCTTTGGACTTTATTCTCGCGCGTGCTCGAGGCGTGTGCGTCGTGCCCCCGTGGCGTTGGTATAGCGTGCATGTTCCTGTTTGCGCGTAGCCGGGCGCCATTGCCATGAGAATCCAAACCGACATCGGGAATCGAGCGTATTCACGGGAACGTGGTCTTCCGTGTAACGAAGCTCGAACCTGCCCCGGGTGAGTGAGAGCTCCGTAACGCTCGGCTCGCGTGTAACCGCTTGCCAAAACAAGAAAGTGGTTTACCGTACCGTTGAATAACGTGACACACATCGTCGTAATTCGATTTTCCTTTTCAACGATCGCGTTCGCTCGCGGAGCTGCGTCTGGCTCGCGGGAGCGATGCGTATCCCCGAGCCTTAGAAAATTCGTCGTAAGGAAATTAGGACGTTCGAGTTATTCCGGACGCGGCCATTTTGCAAATAGTGGAGCTTACGAAGAGCGTTACTAGTTGTACGTCGATTTCGATGGAACTATGCACGCAAGAGTTATGGAAAATATTTTCAAGGTTTTCAAAAATTTTAAATATAAAAGTTACATGCTTTCACACGACGATGGCGCCACTGTAGTTACACGGTAGCTTTTGTAGTTCAGAACCACCCCAGTTTGACCGTATAAATTTTGTTGTACGTTTTGAGATAGTGCAACGTTATTTCTTGTATCATGTTTCCACTGTATACACTTCAGAAATCTAATATCGAAACAGTGTTATCGAGAACGTTTACAAACCGTGCTATCGTGAATCGTGTTTGTTAAATATCTCTTCGTACGTTTTTCAATTTTGTTATTGTTCGTTTCCGTTTTATTTTGAGCTACGGTTAGGGTCGATCGATTAAAAAATTCGTCCTGGAAGCGTCGTTCGGTAAATTTTCTCTCCCATAGTTAATTTGCAAAGGCAGAGAGCCGTTTTCCTTTCTCGTGTATTTTATTTTAGCCTTGATGTAATGGGTCGCTCGCAAAATATTGTTCAGTGAACTTTCTCTAAAGCTAGACGGTTGGTTCCGTTCTTCTGCACCGTTTCGGTTCCATTGCTTGTTTTCGGACTCGGTTTCCGACCTCGTTCAACGAGGCGCGCGTGCGATTCTTGCGCGAAATTTTGCGTCTCGCGAATTTATTCCTAATTCTCCGTTCGTTTCACGGGGGGGAAGTCCACGGCACTAGGCTGAACGACGAATCGACGGTATAGGTAAACGCTCAAATGGATATAATATCGCTGGGGAGCCGTCGATTAAAATTAAATGTAGTTTGAAATTCGACGACCTGTGCCTGGTAATTTCAGGTCTCTGGTTCAATGTGTTATTAAATACGCTTGGAAATTTTTATTTAACCGCCGTCCCAATATTTTTACTCCACAAATTAAAATCGGTGCTCGATATTAAGGGGGTAAGACCACTGTAAAAACCTGAAATAAAGCGGTTTTTTGCGATTTCATTTTTGGATGGATGGAAAAATAAGAGGATAATGTTATTAAGCATATCGTTAAGCGTTAAAAAGAAATATTTATTCAAAAATTTTGTAATTTTTAATTTTCCAGACACAAAAAATTTTGTCTTAAAAAAACGCTTCATTTTAGGTTTTTACAGTGATCTTACCCCTTAAATTTTCATCGTTCATCGAACGTAACGCGATGTACTGCCTGGTTGCGGTGCATAGAAATGTTTAAAAGTAATTTCCAATGACAGTATCGATAGTTTACGAAGAATCGACTCGTTGATCGTCCGTTCAGTTAGTTCGCTAATATTTTTCGTTTCCGTGTTGTCACCACGGGTACGCAAAGTGTTACGATCGCGTTCGGTCACGCGAGCTTTGGTGCGTGGTCGCATTGATCGGGAAGATAACGTTACAGTGGACTTCTGACACGATTCAGCGTTCGCGATTCTTTCCACGATCGGTTTTCCCTCGGTTCATTGCACCGTTTCCTCGTCGACGCTAAATATTTGCGCGCCTGATGTGTGCTCGCTTCATATTCGAACGTCACTCGCGCGGCCATTTAAACCGCACACGTTTCCCGCCAATTCTCTGTGCCTGTGTGTGCGTGCGTGTGAAGCCGCCCGCGTTCAGCGGCGAATGCCTTTCAGAATTTCTTGCAGATTCATTATCTTCCTTGACTCTCACCCGCAAACAGAATAGAAAGCAAGCATGAGGTGACGATACTAGGAGGATTAAACGAATTTTCCGTCAAATTCTACGGTCCACGGGGCAGTAAGTACAACATTTATTGTTTCTGTATAATTCGATGCGAGCGCGAATTCCAGTAAAAATGCCAACGTGCACACCAAAACGCATTATGTAATGTTCACGATCGCTAGCGTACGCGTGCACTTGCTGGCGAATGTACACACCTACTGGAATATCGTAGTAATTCTAATACACTGTGGAGCATAACTATAGCACCACTATAATTTTCAAGAGTTTTGTAATTATAACTAACAATTTCTAAATGTGAATGATACCACGCGAAAAGGACTAGAAAAAAATTGTAATTAATGGAAAGAGTTAAAAAATAACATTTATTTGACTTCAGCTATAATAATAAATGAAATATTGCAATGGTGCATAACTATAGCACCAATGTATTTGAAAAGTAATAAATAGGTTAAATGGCTATAATGATGTTGTATGTCTGTTCACCAAAAATGCTTGCAATTGACCCGTGTAACTAAATATAATTTTTTAAATATATTTCTAAATTTTTAAATTTTGTCTAAAAATTTCAGTACATATTCGAATTTTTTTCTCGAAAGTGTGTAGGATTTCAGGGGTATGTGTATTCACCAAAAGTGCTTGCAATTGACCCTTGTAACTAAATTTAATTTTTTTAGTATGATTTGAAATTTTTAATTTCGTCTAAAAATTTCAGTATCTACTCGAATTTTTTTCTCGAAAGTGGGTAGGAATTCAGGGGTATGTGTATTCACCAAAAATGCTTGCAATTGACCATTGTAACTAAATATAATTTTTTTAGAATGATTTAATATTTTTTAATTTCGTCCAAAAATTTCAGTATTTACTCGAATTTTTTTCTTGAAAGTAGGTAGGAATTCAGGGGTATGTGTATTCACCAAAAATGCTTGCAATTGACCATTGTAACAAAATATAATTTTTTTAGAATGATTAAAATTTTTTAATTTTGTCTAAAAATTTCAGTATTTAATCGAATTTTTTTCTCGAAAGTGGGTAGGATATCAGGGGTATGTGTATTCACCAAAAATGCTTGCAATTGACCCTTGTAACTAAATTTAATTTTTTTAGTATGATTTGAAATTTTTTAATTTCGTCTAAAAATTTCAGTATTTACTCGAATTTTTTTCTCCAAAGTGGGTAGGATTTCGGGGATATGTCTATTCAGCAAAAATGATTGTAATTGACCCCCGTAACCGAAAATAATTTTTCCAGAACGATTCGAAATTTTCGAATTTAATTGTTAATAACTTTTTAACGAAGCCTCGATCAACAAATTAGTATTCTTGATTTTCGTCTTATTTTGATCTCTAGAATCTCTCATTAAAATTTTTCCCCAGGAGTGGCATCTTTAATAAATTTCACTTATCCATTATTTACAATGCTTTTTCATACCATATAATTGATTTTTTTCAAATAATTTTCGTACAGGTCGGAAATGTTAAAAATGTTAGTGCTATAGTTATGCTCCGCAGTGCAGACGTTTCATAGCATTTGCATGCAATTTCACACTGTTCGAGAGAACTCGAGTGGCCTTGATACATCCTTGGAAAATATAAGGACCTCTTTTTTTGATATCTTATCGCGACGCTTATCACGGGACACCTGGTACAAGCAAAACATTCTGTGGCAATGGATAATTCGTTAAAGTGGAACCTACATATGTGTCGCTAATTTCACAAGCGACGATAACCAGTTTCCTTGCCAGGTTCTGAACGGGTCTAACTTAACAATCTCGTCCTCGAAAGATATTAATCGTCACCGCAAATTCAACTTGCGGCTTTTAGTGTACGCAACGCACAGGGAAGCAATCAGTTTGATGCACACGTAACCGGTTAGCCCGGTGAGACAAATTAATTCGATTCGATTAATTCGAACGATTAAAATTTTCAAAAGGATGATTTTAAATCAGATCGCGAATCACTTTACCTTCGTTGGTAGTTAATTTTTTAGCTTGAAGAATATTTCTGCACAAAATTCAGTTGAAATCGCGATTCCTGTTTCTGCCGTATCGCTTATGTGCTTTACTGGCCTCCAAATTACCGATTCAATCGTTGTATACCCACGGAACGTATTCAAACCACTCTTACCACTCGTTTCTATTATAACCTCTGTAACGGTATTTATTAGCACCTGTTACTGCAGTTGTTGCACATAGTAAAACAGTCCCTTTCCCGACAACTCGTTTTATCCTATTTTATTAACTAGTTATGTAAAAAATAAGTTCATATAGCTAGATATTCTCGTGAATCACTTATAAAAATTTTCATCTACGAGAGTTTTGAGTTTCGAGGATTCGAGTGAATATAAAGTTGATATTTGAAATTTTCAACTTCCCTTTGAAATAATTTAAAAAGTATGAAAGAAAACAGGAAATACGTGTGTGGTATTGAAAGCTCAAAAACATATATTTTTTTTTAGTAATAATTTAACAATAAGCAAACGCATAATGCAAAGAACAAAAAAAGTTCCTTTTCTTTGAGCCAATATAAAGTTAACATCCCTGCTTTTACGTACATAGTTATAACTTATTCTAATTTCAAGTGTTAAGGTTATGTTGACGCTCGTATGTATTTCGAGATATCGAGCGTCTCTAGTTTCTTCTTATTATTAAATTCGAGGTATGACCCGTCCCAGTGGCGTGACGCACCCTGTATAAATTCATAGAGAGAATAAAGCGATTAATTGCATTGGGCCTGTTAGGCTCAGGGCATTCATCGAAGCGTTAACAGGTTAAAATGTGGCGAACGATAACGCTGATACTCGTCGCTGGCGCGTCGTCGGTTTGAATTTTATCGTGGCTTTCCCCGTCTGTCGTTGCGATCCGTTAACTTCGTTTCCATCGTTTCCTGGTCCCAGCAACCTTGTAACGCGAATTCGCGAATAATTTATCGCCGCGTACCGCCGTGCACGAATCGACGACGAAGGAACGCCCGCGAATTGCCGTTTCACGTGCTCATTGTACGTTTCCAGCATTTGATATTCCAAGGTCGCCTCCTCTCCGCGCCCGAATACACTTATGCAACAGTGTGCGTATTTATGCTTTCGTTCGGCCGGACACGCGTGCAAAAAACCATTATCGATCGAGACACTCGTCCACCGACGAAAGTTCCTTGACATCGCTTTTAACGCGTTACACACCGGACTTGGCCCTGGTCTCGTCTCCAATTGAATCGCTGCACGAGCTATACACGATGACCCAAACAAAGAGTCGCCAGCTGTTTTCTGTGAAATCGCTGCAGACGACGGGCTCTACGTCTTCGATCGTGGCACGTTTCGCGTCGACAAGGTGACCCTACGGCTGTGAAGATTGCTTTTGAAAAGATAGCAGGTGCAAGTTAGAGTGTACAGGGTGTTAGGTTTGGGAAAAATTTTAATACAAGATTCTAAAAAATAAATTCTTGATTGAGGCTATGTTAAAAGTTATTAAAAAATTTCGAATCGTTTTGGAAAAATTATTTTCTGTTGCGAGGGTCCATACTAAGCATTTTTGGTGAATACACATATCCCCGAAATCCTACTCAGTTTTGCAATAAAAATTCGAGTAGGGGGCAAATTTTTCGACAAAATTAAAAAATTTCTAATCGTTCTAAAAAAAATATTTTTAGTTGCAGGGGTCAATTACAATCATTTTTGCTGAATAGACATTTCCCCGAAATCCTACTCAGTTTCGAGATAAAAATTTGAGTAGGGATCAAATTTTTCGATAAAATTAAAAAATTTCGAATCGTTTTGGAAAAATTATATTTGGATGCGGGGATCGATTACAATCATTTTTGGTGAATAGACATATCCCCGAAATCCTACTCAGTTTTCAGATAAAAATTCGAGTCGGGGGCAAATTTTTCGACAAAATTAAAAAGTTTCGAATCGTTTTGGAAAAATTATTTTCTGTTGGGAGGGTCAATTATAAGCATTTTTGGTGAATAGACATATCCCCGAAATCCTATTCAGTTTCGAGAAAAAAATTCAGAAAGTGGACAACTTTGTCGTCGATATTAAAAAATTTCAAATCATTGTAAAAAAATTATTTTCTGTTGTGGGGGTCAAATACAATAATTTTTGGTGAATAGACATATTCACGAAATCCTACGCACTTTCGAGATAAAAATTCGAGTATGGAATAAATTTTTCGACAAAATTAAAAAATTTCAAATCATTCTGAAAAAATTATTTTTAGTTACAGGGGTCAAATACAATCATTTTTGCTGAATAGACATACCCCCGAAATCCTACGTACTTTCGAGAAAAAAATTCTTTACCAAAAATATACTACGTCGAAATGTTGTCGTTCTACAGGCGAAGCTTTAAACCTTAATAACTTTTTAACGAAGTCTGAATCAACAAATTGCTATTCTTGATTTTCGTCTTATTTTGGTCTCTAGAATCTCCCATTACAATTTTTCCCATGGGTAGCTGAGAACATCCTGTATACGTAGTATCAAAAAACCCTAATAGGTTTTGGCGACGCTTTATTTCCTCACAACGGGCCTTCGTTTTTGAAATATTTTAATTCAAAGTTTGCCAAGGTACGACAGTAAGATTATTCGAAGAAAAAATTCAATAGATCTCTGCGAATAACGTTCATTGCAGTTGTATTTTAACGTTGAGGACTCAAGATCTCGACGTAATCCCCGTACGCTTCTAGATCGCTCACGTCTCATTTTCTATTCTCCAACTACTAATTGCCTTATGAATTTATAAGCCTCGCCGCGTTGAAAATGAAAGTACATATAATTATCTCGCATTAGATGACCAATCGTCGCTCGTCGGTGATAATGTATCGCGGCGATGATATATCCAGCGTTCTGGATCACCGTGCGGCTCGAAAGTCTATTCTCAAAATCGTTCTCGGTCGCGTCCTTGTGAAAATTTTCCGTTTTCGTTACGCAGTATCGGGTGAAGCAATCGATTACTTTTATCGTGCGGTCATTCGTGTGTTACGGTGGTTGCAGTAACCCGTCGTTCCTCGTTCGCGGTTGGCAAACACCACTCCTACACCATTTTTCTTTTCGATTACT